TTTTGCTTTTAAATTAATCCGTTGTACAAGCTTTTATTGACCATACATTATGTACATGCTCAAAATACTACAAATTATATAAATTTCACTTGAGTGCAAATTTTATAGTTCAGTTTGTTGTAACAACTATTAGCAACAACAATATGTATTGTAGTCCTTATACTTCAAATTATGGGCCTATTAAAAGATTAACAAATATCCTTGCATTAGTTTTTCAAATAATTCATTTTACTAGGAAACAAATTGGAGAAATGAGAGAAAAAAAGACTGCAAACTTTAAATTCAATAAATACAATTTTTGAGATACAAAAAAAGGAAGCTACTTGGTAAAGGTATAATGAAGCGAAAAGCTTGAAGAATGATTTAGCAACATATAGCAATGTGCTAGAATTACTATGCATTATGTAGTAGTAAACTACTAGTTAGTATTATTAGCAACACATAGATATTAACGAGGTTACTTTTAATTATGCAAAAATATAACAATAATGGCATGACAACAAGGCATATAAAATAAATGTGCTAATTATAGGAATGATAAATTAATCAGGGAAAGGTGCATTTCTATGGTGACATATGATAATTTTGATCATATATTATATTGCCTATATCTTTTATTTCACAAGTATCATCTCATGTTAATTAACAAATAATACTTGTAAAATATTATTATTCTAACATATGTTTGAAAATATCTATTTAATCTATCTATCTAATTTATCTAATTTATTCAATTTATCTATCTAATTTATATAATCTATTTAATTTATCTAATTTATCCAATCTATCTATCTATCTGTCTACGTGTACAGAGGTTTTAATTAATATCTATATGTGCAATAGTTTTAAAATTTATATATACATTTATTTGATGTATATTTAAATATGCATTTTCGCGCAAAATTTTTCTTCTTGTTTTCGATGTTTAAATTTACCATTTTAACCAATTCTTTGTTCATTAGTCTTTTTAGATTTTATCATGTTAAAACATTCCAATCTATAGCTTTCATAACTGATTCATTTTTAATTCCTTTAATCCACGAATTTATTAAACCCTCAATGATTTTTTTATTTGAATTTATTTGTCTGAATTTTTGACTTTTTGTAACTTCTTTTTTTAAGTTGTGATAAATAATTACTGAATAGTTGCGCCATTTTCGATCTTTTGTTCATCTAAAAGTCTAATTGATCATCGCTAACAACTGATGATTTTAACTAACCCTATCCAAATTTTTGGTTTCATTTTATCAAAGTTTTGTAATCAATCAAATCGTTTGCATGGATTTATTTTGAATACAATGCAAATTAACTTTTTTGCTTCTGCTATAAACATTTCATTTTTTTATCTCTTTCTTTTTTGAAATACATGCCCAAATATTACTACAAAAGAAATATCACTTTTAATTGATCTGGATGCTACTAAACTCATCGTTAAAGAGTCATCCAGAATACATCTTTTCTGTCAGTTTATTTTCTGCAAAAAATTTCAATCAGTCTCCAATTACCACTTTTTAATTCGATTTTTTTGTGCATAATTTTTTAGTGAATGTTTGGTAAGCTATAAAATTTATTCTTCAATTTCCATTTTGATCGAACAAATGGTTATTTTTAGAATTCATAAGTTTTCAGCAAACAAATGCGATGCATTTTTTTCTCGGCTTAAGCAATTATGGTACAGCATTCATAAAATATAATCATTTAATCAAACAAATATTTGTATTTAATATGCAAGTTTTATATAACAAAGGCGTGCAAAAGTCTCAACTGACAATAAAGTTAATGATGATAAATTGTATTGGTTGGCAATAAGTTACCAAGGAAACAAAATGATGAATTTCAATCAAATAATTATTTGTCGTATATGCTAGATGCTGAAATACGCAAGCAGAAAAACATCACTTTGCACAGCATTTTAAATTATCATCTGTCATGATGGTGCATTGATTATTTATTATAAGCTAATTGTGTCAATAATTTTAAAAGGTTAAAGATCGAATAAATTACAGTTTTTGGTTATTCATTCAAATAAAGTGGGGAAAAATATTTCTTTGATGTTTTTCAACAATTTTATTCATTCAAAGTTGCATTTCAAATAATGAAATGAAAAAAATATTGAAAATAATTAGCATAATTAACAAATAGGATCACTTGAATTGTTTTAGAAATCCATTTATTATTGATTTAAAAGCAGTGCGCACAATTGGAATTAATCACAAAATTTTGAATTTTATATATTCGATTAAATCATTAAATATCACATAATTTTTTCATTTAATAACAATAGCTTGGCTGTTGAAAATTTCGACAAAAAAATTTTTTCCAGACTGGACAAATGTTTATGTTTTAATTTTTATTCAGTTCATGTTCACTCCCTCTTCATGTCTCGAAAAAAAGAAGTTAAATGAATTAGTGCTGAAATTTATATCGTCAAATCAGATTTTATAACAAAAGAAGAATATCGATGAAATCATTTTGCTGTTAGTCATTTCAGAAGTAAATAGTGTCATATTCTACATGTTTACAAAATATGAGTAAGTTTAAAAAGGAAAAAAAAATGCGATGAAGATATTTTTTTTAAACCAAACGAAGAGGAAATTTATGAGATAGAAGGAAATGGAAATATATTAGGGAGTTAGAATTGCTGAAGCAAATGTCAGAAGTCGCAAAAAGAAAAAATTTGTCTGGACTATTTCCTTTGTTTCATTATCCATCATAAACGATAATATCTCAGCAACCTTCTCATTATAGTGGTTTAACTCAATTAACAAGTAAAAACTACTTAAAACAATAAGCTGATAAAAACACTTATATATCAAATGAAATTAAAGTATTGTTAGGGAGGAAAATTTAAGTTAAATCATATTGGATTCAAAATGGAAGCGAATCAATGAAATCAGAAGTATCTATATTCCTTCATTTTCTCCAACATTGTATACGACTGGAAGCTAACAGACCATAATGAATTATCATAAATTCTGCTTGAATTTTATTATCTATGCACAGAAAATTCTCTTAGTATGCAAAAGTTTATATTTCAAAAACTTCAAAATATCAATGAATAATTTGAAATACTATTCTGTTTTTATCCAGCGAATATTCATGCGCCTAAACTTATATATCTAACAAGTGTTTCACGAAAATATTTGATGCAAATGAAAGTAAGAACCATTATTTGGCCTAATCTTAAACTGTCTCAACTCGTCAGTGCTAAAAAGAACTCGCAGTTCCTAATATACGCTTAAACTCCAATATTTTGCTTAGATTTTATATCTTTGAAACAAGAAAGCATTTTTCAAAAAAGTTATCTAATATAAAAAAATTACCACCGTTTTTTTTTTTAGATAAAAAAATTTCCAAAATAAACTTCCATAATTTATTCAATGTAAAATACAATCATACAATGATAGCAATTAATCAAATACATGCCAGAAAAATTTTCATAGTATCAGTTCGAACGGATTCTTATCAGTGATATTATTTGTCGGAAAGAACGAAATTATAGTAATATGTAGAAATAAACCTGTGTTAATTCATAAGCTAAATTGTCTTAATTAAATATTCTTGGGACAAATCTCATGTAGGAAATCATTTACCCAGTATTCATCTATCAATTATACTGAAATTAGTTCATCTTTGCATTGTTTGCTAACAAAGAATATATGTTGAAATTAGCTTCCAATTAAATTGTTTACAAGGTCGCCAGTTCCATATTACGTTGATCTTCTTTGCTGTTTGTTGGTTCACCAGTAACTGTAAATTATAATTGGATTTGAGAAGGTTAACAGTTTCTTGTTTAGTTGATTATTATGTTAATGCTTACTATAGAAGGAACTTATTCTCGTCCATTCATTTAAATTCAAAATTTTTTCTCCCTCTTCACTTTATATTCGTAGATAAACTCTAAAAAAATTAAAAAAAAGGTTGTTAGCATAGAATAATAATTATGTACCGTAGTTGTTAACAAATAAAAGTACCTTGTTCCAACTCCAAACCACAAACAAGAAAGACTGAGGAGTCTGAGGAGACTGAGGAGTCTTTCTTGTTTGTGGTTTGGAGTTGGAACAAGGTACTTTTATTCATTATAATACGATTTTGGCTAATACTACCACAGTATCTATCCGGCTAAGGAAAGTTAAAAAAAAATGACACGAACAACGTCTCTGGATCAAACTTTGATAGTGGAGCAGTAATAAGAGTTTTATCAAGAAAACGAATAATTGAAAGCAAAGTTCAAAGGTTTCAACTTTACATCAATACGCTGCTGCAAATGACAAGTGGCTCAATTATATCCCGAAATCTACTACCAAAACAAAAAGAAGGAAGAAATGTCGTGGAAGAAAAGTATGAAGGAGAAAGGAGAAGTGGATTATGTCGAATGCTCCTTGAAGGTAAAGAAGTGTGAATCTCATGCGAATCTCACAAGAATTACTGCAACCAAAGAAGCAGTCAAAACTTGTACCCATCTCACATACCCATTTCGTAGTCAATCTTCCCAATTATTGTTACCCACTTTTACTGGGAACCCAGACAATGGCGGCAGTTTTGGAGTAGTTTCATTGCTGTAGTCCATTCATAAGCAATTCCGGAAATTCAAAAGTTGCATTATCTGCATTCATGTTTAAGTAGAAAAACTTTGCAAATAGTAAGATACCTTAGAAAACTACGAAGTCATAAGAAGACGGCTAGGAGAGGAACACTCTAATACTGAAAGTGTCAAAAAACATACACCACGTTGGATACTAGATTAGGTCGGTTCCGAAGTTTAGAAATTTCCTATCGGACTTGGTCATTACGAATGACCAGGTTAGAAGTAGCCAACTCTAATCAATAACGCGTAGGCCTGTGCAAAACCTCCGAGACAAGTTCGGCATTCGCAACAGTGATATATCTTCTCAGACTGCAACAAAGAAAAGAAAGGACAGAAGACGTCACGTACCTTTTGCGCCAAAGATCATTGGGACAGAATAACGCGTCAGTGTAACAAAAGGAACCAAAGCGCTTCAAACAAAACGATTTTCCTTCTTTTCTTCTCGCGGCTCCAGCTGCTTTTCTTCTTCTTCTTCTTCTGCTTCTGCTTCTGCTTCTGCTTCTGCTTCTGCTTCTGCTTCTTTGGTGGCTTTCTCATTCTTCTGCTTTTTCGGTGAAATTTTTGCCATCGTCAAATAACTACGCCAAAGCTGCCCAGTCGAGATGAGGACAGATAACCAAGATGAATATTCGACATCTAATTATAATTCGACTCTTGCAACTCAAATGAGCTCTCAGTGAGGAAAGGACAGGAAAAAATAAATAAAACAAAAAAAAAAAAAAAGAAATTATAATAAAAACAACCAGAAAGACTACAAAAACACCAAAAATGTTATCAAATACTTCTGGAAAATTCTTTTCTTCTATTTACTTTGAAATCACTCACAGGCGGTATTACTGAATGAGAGAGCTTTTGGTGGGAATTTTGATGTTTTGCACATTTCAGTATTCCCTAAATCCATAATACATCGACATTTTTCTCTTTTACATGTTTAACTTTACTCATCTTTTAATTGTGGCTGTAAGCTATTCATTATTTAATGAATTTTTTGTATTTTTTTAAAAATTTTTTTTAATGATTTTTTTCTTTTGATTTGGGTTATGATTTTAATTTTTATAATGATTTTTGTTTTTTTTTTATTAAGTTTGATTACTATTAATTTAGAATGTGAAAGCTTTATGAGGGGATTATGAAGTATTAAATAGGTTTTGCTATACCTGACTATAGCTACGGGAGAGCGAAATATCTTCATTCTAAAGCACGAAGCCATCATCACGTTGACTACGTACAAGAGGGAACTTAATAATGAAATCAAACAAATAACTTCTAAACCTCAATAGTAGAATCGACAACGCCAACATCCTATCGCAACATCAACCTCCCTCAGCTATCTCTTCCCACTTTCGATGGAGAATCCCGACAATGGAGAAAGTTTTGAGTGGGTTCAGTGTGGCTGTACATTCCCAGGATATCCCACAAATCCAAAAAATGAACTATTTAATTTTCTGTTTAAAAGGTTCAGCACTATAATTAGTAGGAGGCTTTGACTTGCCCTAGAAAATTACGAAATTATGCGCCAAATATTGACCAAAAAAAAAACCAAAACTCGTCGACAATAATGAAATTACTGTAAAATGAACTACAGTCAATCAAACGAAACGATAAGGAATGGATTGAAATTGTTGAAAGAATGGAAAGAATTTTTCGACAATTAGAAATGCTAGGAGAGAATTTGGAACATTCCAGCACTGAAAATACAATCGAGAGTAGACTATCTCGATGGATACTCGACAAAGTGCATCATCAAAAAACGATCGACAGTCCATGGTCAATAATGAAATTAAGGAAATTCCTCCGAAACTTAATCAACACGAACGGACGAGTAAGAAATCAGTTCTCATTTACCCTTATGGAAAGAAAATACACCTCATACAGGAAGGCGAACCCAAAAAATCATAAAGAAACTTTTGCATTGGTGACTGTCTAGAATAGAGGTGAGATTTCTCATTCCTCGATAAAATAGTAAAACCAAACAAAAAAGACAGCACATATTTTGTAGTAAAAACCATTGGGACAATAAATGTAAAACATTTCATCAATGGATTCTCGACTGAAACGCCTCAAAGAAATAAAGAGATACACTATTTGCATGAAATCAACTCACCAAGGTAAAGAATGCAGCAGAAAGATAAGATGTTTCTACTGCAAAGCTTCTCACAATAGTGCTCTATGTAACAAAAAATTCTCGACACATGCGATCAAAACAACATATCCAAATTGGAACCAGCAAAGGAAGAAATGCATAAAATGGCGGACTATTCAACCAACCATAATAATGTCGCAAACAAGTACAATTACGAAGGTGGAAGGTATGGAAATCCTACTATTATGGAAAGAAATAACTGTCTTTAATCCATCATTACCACATCATAGAGAAACAGCATTAGCATTATTTGATGTAGGTTCGCAATTATCTTTTATATCTAAGAAACTAGCAAATCGATTAGAGTTGACCAGGCAAGCAGCCTGACATATTGATTGGAGCAGATTACTTCATCAAATTCGTGGAATTCAAGTAAAATTCAAGAACTAAATTTTGGATTCCTACTATTACAAATAAATGTGGGACCGATGATCACTGGAAGTGGAGACGAATACCAAACGGTTATCGAGACCAGTCTGTGCAGCCAATGTAAGTTCTTGCTCAGAATTAGAAATTTTTTTGAAATTAAAAAAAAAAAATTTGGGAATCAATGGCCAACCTAATGCTAATGACGATGAAGAGGTGTTAAAACAATTCAGGAAGTCAATAATCAAGTGTAATAGAAGATATAGAGTTCGTTGGCCATGGAAAGAATATTAAAGGCAAATTAAGCAATAACTATGGTCTATATGCCTTAGTCGTTTGAAGAACCTCATCAAACGATTACAAGAAGAGTCAATTCATCACAACATAATAAAGAAGCAAGAACAATTGGGTATAATTGAAAAAGTGGATCTGCCTCATCATGGTGTATTAACTCCTAATAAGTCAACTACAAAAATCCCAATTGTTTATGACACTTCAGCACATCTTAGAGATTCTAAAAGCTTAAATGAAGTCTTGTACAGAGGACCTATTTTGCTACCGGATCTAGTGGATGTATTACTGCGTTTTAGAATGATGGAAACAGTAATACTGCTCGATATCGAAAAAGCATTTTTACAATAGAATTAAGAAAATAACGAATTAGCAGCAGAAATAAGAAAAAATATTTATGTTGATAACATAATTTTATCTGCGATGTGTACAGAGGATGCCTTGTTAAAGTACGAACAAACAAAACTTATCTTTGACAGAGCAGCTATGAATATTAGAGAATTTATTTTGAATGATTTAAAATTTAGTGAAAGATTACCCGACTACAACAAGGCTAATTCTAACAAAGGTAGTTTTCTTGGTATAAATTGGATTTATGAATTGAATGTAATTCGTATTATACTTTAACCATGAAATGAAAAGAAAATAACTAACACAATTACCTTGTACTTTATTGCTTCACATTATGGACCCTCTAAGGTTTTTAGTCCCCTTAATTATTACACTCAAATTTTTTCTTCAACTTTTACAAAAACAAAACAAATCGTGGGACAGTCTTTAAACTATCAGGAATAAAAACAATGGGAATCAATGATACAAAGTTGGTCAAAGAATATAATATACCTACCTCGATTTGCAATAAACCCATCAGATCAATTAGAAAAACATGTATTTTCGGATACTTCAAATCAAGCATACACAGCAGCAGTACATGTTCTTAAAATCAGAAAATATGGTAAGAATTCAACATTTCTCATTCATGCTAAATCACATATTACTCCAATTAAACAAATTATCGTACCTCGTTTGGAATTACATTCAATACTAATTGGGTGTATTGAAGTAACTAGAGTTAAAAGATGTACCTGTAACTCTTTGATCTGATTCTAATTGTGCTCTATTTTGGATCAAAAATTATTAAGACACTGTTTCATTCCACAACTCATTGTATCAACGATACTATATATCAGTGATATATACAACTTCTGTATTCAAGAATTGCTGCTGAAAAAAAAATGTATATTTGAAATAATCTAATAAGGAAAATTGACGTTTTACATTATGTTATCAAAGAATAGTAATATTCATTGTTTTGTTAGCAGGAATTTGTGATTTCTTCGTAGATTTAATACAAATTAAAAATTAAACGCAATTGGTTGCAGCTCAAAACATCATTGCAGTTAAAAACATTAAAGCAAAACTTTAAAAAAATTCTTCAAAAATTTGTCTAAAGTTTGTGGAAGGGTGAAATTGTGTGGTTAATGTTTGCTTTAACAGCTTAACATTGAAGAAATGGAATGAGGATGTGGTATGGAATTACTACAAATTGGTAATAGAAAACGGCAAATGTTACATGTTGTAACTGAATCAGCAAAAGTTTGTTGACTTTTTGCAAACTATAACTTTTGAATAGAAAGAATAATTATCATCAATAAAGACGAAAAAGGGAAAAAAGCGCTTAGTAAAAGTAACCAAAATTTTACAAATGGATCTCACATTGGACAGATAATAAGAATGCTGTTTTAAGAGAGTTGGAAAAGTGAGCAAATAAAAAAGTACTGAAAATTATTGATGACAGCGCTTAAACTGATTGTACATGTAATACTTGGAAAAAGAAGAAATTACTGAGAATTGGTAAATGTCGTGAAGATAAGTTGACTTTATGGGTTAGTCGAATATGCAGAGCAGGAATACTTAATACTTGAAAAGAAAAATAAGACGATTGTGGACGATAGTGACTCCACCTTGATCACCATTAAAAGCCCTTATGTTGTTTAATCTTAGGTTTATATATGTTAAGAGTTGGGAATGATTTACAATAGACTTACAATGAATTACCATAGATATTAAACCGGATGTTCATTTAAATACAAGATAACAAAGATTAGCCTGTGAATTACCGTAGATATTAAATTCATTTGCACACAGGAGATAGAGAAAAGAAAAAATGAGATTATTTGTGAATGTGAGAACAAATTGTTAACATTTGATAACAAATTTTTGGCATATGACTAACTGGAATATTGCGATATTGAATTCGCGACAGAAGTCAAACATGTTGAAATTGAATCAATAAGGATTTATTGACATTTTGCAGACTATGACCTTTATATAGAAAGAATTTTTAAAGCTTTCAAAATTGCAAGCACATTTTTAGAGCAATTTGTAAACATAAAAGCAGATAATATGCTTAAATAAAATTAAACTACATTTTATCTGAAATATACAAAAGAATGCAATTGCAAATCATTGATATCTTAGCAAATAATATTTATCCATTCCTATAAATAAAGTCAAAGACCACCATGACAAGAGAATGAATAGTACCACTATAAATTTCCATTCTCAAATGATCCTAAGCCTTGAAAACACCAATTTAGGTGATGTAGAAAATTCGATGATAGGTTCTGTCTATAATATTGTATTATTTCATGTTCAGATATTTATTTAGGAACTTCATTGATATTTTAGGATGATCAATCAAACAATCACAGCTGCACTGCTTCTTTTTGCGAGTTTTCAATTTGTAGTGATATTTGGAGAAATGTACGTTGGAGAACTAAAAATTTCTGAAATAACAAATATTTTTTGAACAAACTATTCAAATAGCTATTGCTAATGATGTCATTGCTAGCATCTTACCATCAACAAAAACACTTTTTTTTTGTTATATTTTTAATTTTAAATATATTTTTTAATCTTAAATTTTTTCTTCAATAAACTTTTCCAGTTCGTCGACGGACACTGCACAGTTCGACTTCGCTGTTGCTTTGATAAAAGAAATAGCACAGAACGATGAATCAACGATTTCATCCCCTGCTTCAATATCAACCGCACTCTTTATGCTTTATCTCGCAGCTGATGGTGAAACCAAGCAAAAATTGTCGGAAATTCTTGGAAGAAGTAATTACAATTTTGAAGAATAATTTAATCGAGCAGTTTAATCTACTTTTAGGTCATTGGAAAGTTTCTTCTTGGCACTAAAAATGCCATATTGATCAAAGTTCATAAATATTTAACTGATTCTTTTAGATGCAAGGAAAACACAAATTCAAGAATATTATGGTAAATTATTGGCAAGTAGCGATGGTACAAAGAGTAAAAGTTATATGCTAAATATAGCAAATCGTTTATATGTACCAAAAGAATTTTCAATAAAGCCGAGCATTCCCCATATATTTCAATTTTATTTTGGCGAAACGCTACATAGATTCAATGATGGACGAAGTGGTCAACTTATTAAGGCATGATTAATGATAAAAAATAAAAATGAATATGAAGAAGGGATAAGATAGTTGTTGTTATTGTTGTTTTTTAAATTTATTTATTCCTATTGCTATTTCCAGAAAATTCAATTTTGTTCATTTGATCTGCGATTTTCGATTAAGTACCGCAACATAATTCTTTTTTTCAGGAAATTAATAGATGGGCTTCGAAAAACACTCACAATAAGATTACAGAATTGGTAGAAAGGACCACAGTTGATTCAGAAACCAAAATGCTATTGCTGAACACAATTTACTTTAAGGGTGTTTGGAAGAAACAATTCTCCACTGATTCTCAAAAGAAGTCGAATGGGGTAGACTTTTTGTTGAATATTATAGTTAGAACAATCTATCAAATTTTTTTTTTTTTCTTTTCTGCATTTATTGTTTGTTCCAAATATGTTTGTATGTTAAGCGATTACATCGTGTTCAGATGCCAATGATGCAATTAAATGCAGTACTGAAGTATTACGAAGACAAACTTGTACAAGTTGTCAAGCTTCCTTATGTCAGCGATAAAATAGAAATGGTAATTATATTGCCAAAAGCTCGTTTTGAATTACATAAGGTTCGCGAAGAGATGACAGGAAGGCATTTAAGACGGTACATTGAAAATGCTGTGCCAACTAAAGTAGAGGTAAATTACTATTTTTTCTTTTTTTTCAAACAAATTACGAGAAATCATACGGAATGATGTGTTATGATAAGCAATTCTGAGTTGCCATTTGTCCGAAAAAACTCGTAAAGCAAGCACTTGCAGCAAATAAAGCAATTTCAAAGTGATCAGCGTGAAAAAATTTCTTCCTTGTCAAATTAATTCCTATAAATGTGTTTCATTGGCTGAAATTCTTGCATTTTAAACATTTTGAGAACCTCTTAGTAGATAATTTGTCTAGTTTGTTTCATTTTCAGTTACAATTACCAAAGTTTGGGTTGAAACAAGAATTAGATTTGGCAAATATTTTGAAAAAGCTTGGCATGACAAATATTATCAGCAAAAAAGCCAACTTCAAAGCACTTACCGACAGTCCAATTTCCGTTGGCAATATTATACATGGAGCTTCATTTGTGGTTTGTATGATCACGTTTTTTCGTTCAAAAATTAGCGGGTCCAAGAATTAAAAACACAACTGTTGGACTTTGTTTACTGTCGAGTATTTATAGGTAAATGGAAAAGGGATGGAAACAACAATGGAAATCGGATTTGGTTCTCCTGTATTCGTATTTCGAAAGAATATAATATTCAATGCTGATCAACCATTCCTGTTTTTTGTTGTTAGTAAGTCTCAACATGTTCTGTTTGCTGGCCAATGTTGTAAGAAAACAAAAAATCATGTGAAATTTGAAAAAAAGTTAAAACATCTGACACCTAAAAAACCATTATTTTAGATTCCTAAACGTCTTAACCTATATCTCTTGCTTGTAATTTTGCTTCGTTCTATTATTTTTTTCACTTTTTGGAAACATTGAATCTTTAATGACCTTTCTGATCCATTTATATGTGTGCATGCATAAATAAATTTGTTCAGAGCATGAAAATGAAAAAAATAAGAGAAATAATGATCTAATAGACTGCTGATTAGGCCATAACTAATAAATAAGAAAACAAACTATTATTTCAGCGTTTAGAGATAGATATATGCTTGAGTAAAATTGCATTTGATCCAATTCAGTGTTTAAGTAAATGTATTCCATAGCATTTTCTAATTATCATTTGTCGCACCTGGAGATTAAATTCTCATAATTACAAATATTTTTAAATTGTCATCATGTTAAATTAAATTATCATAATATTATTTAAATTGCCATAAAGTTATTCAAATAATCAAAATTTTTTTATGATAACAATCTACACATGTACGTGTTTCAGTAATGTTTATAATACTTAAATCCAAGAAAAACCCAAGGTTTGGCAATCAAGGAAAGGCATATAACTGCTTAGTTGAAATAATTGAGTGAGCAAAATTGACGCACATCATGTTTCACATCATGTTGCAATATTCATTGTTTCGTTAGTTAGTTTTTATAATTTATTTGTTGATGTAGTAACATATATGACAGCAATTAAATATGAAGCTCAAGTAAAAGTGAAATTATATGGTCAATATTTGAGAATTTTAATAGGCTAACATGAAAGAAATGCTATGATGATGCAATATAAACTGGATTGTGATAAAATTTTATAATGAAATTTTATAACCAATAACTACTCATGTTTTCCCAAATGACTTTTATTTACAATCAAATAACATTTTTTTGTTTATTGGATCAATTAACTAATATTTTATTATCCTTTGTTTCAACCTTTACACCGTATTGCATTGCTAATTGGTTAATGAATTTTCATTATGGGTGAAAAAAAAATTGGATGAATCCAATTTTGATAAAGATTGTATTTTCTGATATCATGGTGCAAAGGCATGAACAGAAGAATTACTCGAAATTACTAAATGTTATCCACTAACTTTTGTACTACCAATTATAATATTACATTTCTTGAAACTTATCACCATTCAAGAATTTCAATTTGCTTATTCCGGAGTAATTCGAAAGGCTCATTTAAATGGGAGAAAGTAACAGAATCACAAACTTCTTGCGTGAAAATCCCACTACAGTGTACAGTTCAGAATCTTGTCAACATCATTTTGTCACAAGCTGTATGTTGTAGATAACTAGAAGGATTAGAAAATGAAGTTAGAGAATTGATAAGAAAACACAAACTCCAGACAGTAATTGATGAAATAAGATTTTCTTAATGTCCGCATGCCGAATAAATTATGCATGTATTTTTTTTTTTTTTTGTGACTAAAATTTGGACTGAAGGAGAATTTGAAATTATTAATAAGGCTGTCAACATGTGCACACCTATTTCTTAATAGATTTATTGTAAAAAAATCAAGTCGCATCAAATATCAACATTTTGCAAAGCTTGAAATTCAAAGTATTATTCAGAGGATCATTTCACATATTGACCTATGAATAGAACAGTCTTCAAATTGTCAACAATTGCAAAGAGGAATGGATGATCAGCAACAAAACGACGCTGCGTACCCATACGATCTATTAAATCAACTACTGTGGCAGCCGTTGATTCCGTTCCTTTTTCATCTATCTGTAAGGAAAAGAATAAAATTTACAATTTCCAAAAAATTTCAAAATATTCAGAAAGAAACGATTGTTAATTTTCCATTAAAAGAAAGTTCACACTAACCTCAATGAAGCCTGCATGCATAACTTTGCCAATAGAAACTGAAACTGTATTATTTACTAGCTCTCCAAAACTGCCTGTTCCACTGAAAACATCTGTGATGCCAATTTTTTGTAGAGCTTCTTTCAGATCTAATTTTTCTTTCACTTGAAATTTTGGTATAATGACCTGAAGTAACTCCGAAATGACAGAAAGAACGGAATAAAATAAAGGTAGCAAGCAAAAATAAGCAACAAATCCATTGGAAATGCTTTTTTTTTTTTTGTCACCCATAATTTTATGCACTAATTTGTTTAGCGAAGTTAATTACAATTGAATGAATCACTTACGGTAACGTAGTTTTTTTTTGCATCATTAATATATTTGAATAGATCTTCACCCGTTAATTTTGCTAGAACATCAGATAAGCCGAAGCGTGCTTTTGGCAGTATGAAAACCATTTCTATTTTAGGGCGAGTATAAGGTAGTTTGATAACTTGCACAAGATTATCTTCGTAATAAAGCAATTTAATGTCATTCATCATCATCGGTATCTGAACGAAAAGAAATGGTGATGAAAAAGTGCACATGTATTTATTTATTCAATGTGTAAGCATTCTAAAATAAATTAGAGGCTGCTAATTGTAACAAATATTAACATATTTACTCGTTTCATTTCGTTTTCAGAAATGTGAAATTCTCTTTCTTTGGTCAAAATCTTCATGAATTGTTTTTTCCAAGTGGCTTTGAAGTAAATTGCATTCATGAGCAAAATATTTGTATCCTTGTTGATACTGTCCTCATTTATTAAATCTTTAATTTTCTTGTTTGTTTTACTCGAAATCCATTTATTGATTTCCTAAAAATATATTAAAATTGAACATTAGCGCAGTGTTTGGTTATTTCGTTCCAAATTCATTAATTGGTGTTCGTGTAGATTTAATCTAGTACATATATATTATTTCAGCCTCACTTCTCCATCTTCATATCATTTTTGCATTTCGTCAATGAACATACCTTAACAAATTCCTTCCTCTTCTCAAAACTAAATTCATGCATTGTTTCGTTGTAATACATTCGGAGCATTCTTTTGAAGCTGTCTTTTACAGAAAATCCCTCCCTTATGCAAAAACGATTTGCTACATTCAACTTGTATTTTTTGCTTTTTATGTTTGCGCTATCAGCTATTTGATTGGCGAAGTATTGTCGAAGATCAGATGTCCTTGCAGCTGAAAATTAAAATTAGTCAAAATCATTTTATTTCTGAAATATAATATATTCTTCCAATCATGACATTTTAGGCTACTGAAACCTTCGCTGCTTTGGTAATAAAATACAACTCATAAGAAAAAAATCTTAAATTCAAATATTTTCACTCTATAGTTACTTCCACCAAGAATTTTCTGCAATTGCTCCTTCGTTTTGCCATCCGCTGCGAGGTAAACCATAAACAGTGAAGTTGATACAGAAAGAGGAGATAGAATGGCTGATTTATCGTCCTTCGCTATTTTTTGCATTAAGCTCACCGTAAAGTTAAACAGCGCATGATCTAGCAATGAACTAAAAAAAGATCGTTAATGATGAGAAATAAAAATTCTGAATTTGGAAATGTACTAAGAAAAAAGTATCATTGATGATGGTTAGACACTAACAATAGCTTAATTATTTCATTACTGTGAAATGTCTTTAGGAAAGCTTTAATTTTTCTACGTACAGTTCTCCAAATATCGATACAAACTGAATGCTTGCAAATAGAAGTAATGCGGTGATGATTGCATAATTCATCTTTCTGAAATACTAATCTAGTACTCAACCTGCTGAAATAATGGAACACAAATAATGCTCTCGAATCCCGTAAATATAATTATGAAAGCTTGGAATTAGCTCATAATCGAATATATAAAGCAAGAATTGCTGCTCCGTGGTCCAGCTTCATTTCTACCATCTAAAATAGATTGGAACTACACAAGCCAGCAAAGTGTGGTGTCAGTAAGCTGGAAAGTATTTATATCACTGAGTTAAGTAAATTATCGATGTTTGTTTGTTATTTTCAACTCGCAACCATTTACTCTTTCATTTCATATCTACCCCTTTAAGGTTACATATACATTTTGCAGACTGAAAGTGAGTGAATGCATTTATTTGTTTTTTTTTATCGTACCATTCACTTGTGCAAACATTACCAAAGATTGTTTTCTGGTTATTCATTATTATTGGAAAAATTTTTGTACTACATTTTTTTCAATTCTTGATAAACGTAGTATCTCAGGCAAAAATTTACATGAGACAAAATTATTTCTTTACTGTTGTTGCTCATAAAAATTTGATCATCTATCAAAACTTCTAAATATTTGCCATGTCATTTCATTTTTTCAAAAAATTTAAAAAGTTTTCCCTAAGTTTCACATCCAATAAAATGTTTCAAGCTGCAAGCAATTCTCTGTTTAATTCTTAATTTGTATTAAATCTACGAAGAAATCACAAATTCCTGCTAACAAAACAATGAATATTGCTATTCTTTGATAACATAATGTAAAACGTCAATTTTCCTTATTAGATTATTTCAAATATACATTTTTTTTTCAGCAGCAATTCTTGAATACAAAACTTGTAAACATCACTGATATATAGTACCGTTGATACAATGAGTTGTAGAATGAAACAGTGTCTTCTTCATATCTTATCAGAAATATTTTGTTAACAGTCAAAATGTTAATTTCATACTTCTATCATTGTATAATCATTTCTTTTTATCGCTGAAAACATAAGCTAACGAAATTTGATCTTTCAACTTTTTAATATTATAATTTGAAAATATTTACAAATATGAGAATTAATTTTAAATTTCTAGGAAAAATTTATTTTTTTCATCCTTTCTGCTGAATTATGCTTTCATTCCTATAGGTCAGGCTTTAAATTCGTACTGAATGAATTTCTTTAGTTCTGATTAAACAAGGTTAATGTTTAAATTAATCAATTTACATTATGTTAATTGAAATAATGTCAAGTGTAAGTTTGAGTATAATTCATTCACATTTTCTTCAGGTGCAACTATCTAGTGGGAGTCCAAAGATATGCTTCTACCGCAGCAGAAATGACAAATATTGTTATTAATTTACTCGAATTTTGAGAAAGCTTCAGCGTCTATATGTTGCTTAAATATAATTACTTGCTTAATACTATTACCCATTATTTCTTTTTTTTTTTTTTCATGTCTCAAAATAAACATGCTAAGAAACAGCATGTTTATTTTGATATAAACCACTCATTAATATAAGTACTTTGTAGCTCAGTCACTTCACTTAGCTAGCTCAAATTTTTACAAACCATTTTAGATAGGTGGGCAAGTAAATTTGGACCGTGGGGCCGGCGATATATATATTCGACTATGAGCTAATTCTATATTATATTTGTATTTTAGAAAGATGAACTGTGTAATTATCCCCGCATTATTTCTATTTGCGAACGTTCAATTTGCATTAATATTTGGAAAAATGTACGTCGAAAATTTTCTGAACAGCTAATATTTTAAAAGCAAATAAATAGCCATAGCTGATTTGTCATTATTAGTATCTTACAATCAACAATAACACTTTCTTAGTTATGTTTTCAATTCCAATTTCTTTCACGTCTCCTTTTAACAGACTTTTTCAGTTCTTCGATTGACTATGCACAATTTAACTTTGCGGTCAGCTTGTTGAAAGAAATAGGACAAGGTGGTAAATCTGCCATATTATCTCCTCTTTCCGTGTCAACCGCACTTTTTATGATTTATCTCGCAGCAGATAAAGAAACAAAGCAACAACTGCAAAATGTTCTTGGAGGAAGTAATTTTTGAAATTTCATTGAAAACTTGCTTTATACAGAAATGTTAACTGCATTAGAATTCCAGTGCTATAATTAACAAATTTTGGAAAGTTACACAAATAAAACATTTCAGCTGCAAAAAAAGCAGAAGTTCGAAAATATTTTGCCCATTTGCTGGCAGTTATTGATGCGAGAAAAAATGAAAACTACACACTGAATATAGCAAATCGTTTTTACGTACAGCAAGGATTTTCTGTAAAGGAAAGCTTTGCCAGAGTACTTAGATTTTATTATGGTGAAACATTACATAGTTTCAGTAACGAACAGAGTCAACAAGTTGCTCAGGTTTGATCTATGATAAAAACAAAGATTAAATGAGTAGAGAAAGATGTAATCAGAAAGGAAGAATGATACAATGGTAGCTACTATCTCTTAAGTGGTTCTATTTCTTAGATTCAGCAATTCCAATTGTTTAAAGAATTATTGTCTTTGATTATTGTAAATGACAATAGTAAAGTTCTCTTCCAGGAAATCAACAATTGGGTATCGCAAAAGACTAATCGTAAAATAACAGAGTTAATAACAGCAGGCGATATCAATAAGAACACTAAAATGTTGCTACTAAATGCAATATACTTCAGTGGTACTTGGGAGACACAGTTTGATGACATGAATACTCATGATGAAATATTTCATATTTCTCAGCACGAAACGAAAAATGTGAATATCTTCTGGAATGTCAAAATTTGAAGCGGCAAGCTGTTTCTTTCAAAACTCATTCATGTTGAATGAATTTGTCTGTGCTTTCTCTCTATCATTTCTATCTTCCTAGGTGTCAATGATGACATTACAATCGGAATTCCCGTACTATGAGGACCATTCTGTGCAAGTTATCAAATTGCCTTATATTGGTGAAGAAGTGGAAATGGTCTTCATATTGCCAAAAACACGCTTTGGCTTGCAAAATGTTCTGAGAAATTTAACGGGTCGAGATCTACTTTCATATATTTCTTCAGCTACACCAAACGATGTATCGGTAAAACATTGTCATTTGCTTTTTCCGATATGCTAATCGATTTGTAATTTTACAGTTTTATTGTTATCGATTTAATGTTCTTCGGCTTTCAGCTAAAATTACCGAAATTCCGTTTGGAAGGGAAAATGGATTTGAAAGAAACTCTACAAAAAATTGGTATTGAAGATGCTATCAGTGAAACAGCTAATTTCAGAGAGCTTACTAATGATGCAATCTCTGTAGGCAACATCATGCATAGAGGCTTCATTGAGGTTTGTGAAAATTCTCGCTAAATAAGAATATAATGTAATCTTTTTAATGACCGCTTGCTAAAAAAAAACCATAGATTTTGGTTATTCACTTACAGGTGAATGAAAAAGGAACCGAGTCAGCTGCTGCCACGATGCTTGATTTAGTACCTCTCATATTTGCAGTACCTAGGCCATTCATTGCTGACCAACCATTCCTATTTGCAATTGTTAAGAACTTGAACACAATTCTGTTTGCAGGCCAATTTGCCAAGTGATTCTTTGTATAATTTTCAATGTTACGACTTCCATTAGAAAAACCAATCGTTTATAGACTTTGGTAAATTAGTTAAATTTGAATACGCTTACACATTTCTCACAACAACATTTCATTTTCTTTCTTTCAGTCATCATTCGCGTTAAAATACAATAATTACAAATGCAAACTACAATTTCCATCTTAATCTGAGCTCGTGCAAAGTAAATCATTTTATTTATGCTTTTTTCTAATTTTTAAAAAGAACTCAGGAATTCATTGCCTTCTGCTTAAAAGATACGGAGAAGAGTTTAATTAGTTACATAGTTACAAAAAATTTTCTCCTCAGAAAAGGAATTACTGAGGAGAAATTAATGCGTATCGGGTTACATATTCACACTCTCGAAACCGCTAATGCAAAATGGGTGGAATATATCCAGCATATTTTGACCTTATTAAAAACAGAAGAAGAAAAGACAAAGTATAGTAAAAGTATGGACGAAGACAAAAAAGGTATTTTAAAACTGATAAAAATAAATGACACTGAGCTACTACTGCAACGCTTCAAACAAGGCGGAACAAAAGATGAACCAATTCATCAACAAGGATATATATATATATATATATATATATATATATATATATATATATATATATATATTCATCCTAATTGCTGTCATATTATTTGGTATAACTAAATGAAACATTTGGTGATATGATGTCAACTGGGCGTATAACTCTATAGTCATCAGAGCCTAAAATGTATTAGTGAACAGGCATTAAGTATTCCTTTTATTTCCACAATAAAGTTATTAATTCTCTTTCCTTTAAAAGTTCCCTCTTTATTGCTCTTCTTAGAATCTTTTTGATAAGCCCAATAATCCGTTTGAACGCCAAATTGCTATGCACACCTCTCTAAAATACTTCGAAATCCAAATCGCAGCTCTAATCCACGAAAACCAGTTGAATCTGTACTGGATCAATTCTTTACCTAACAGGCCACAATAAACAAGTTGAGATAATGAAAAAGTGTTCCATCACCAATTTTAAAGTTGTTAGCAATTATGTCTGCTGACCCTTCTTAATTTGGCAATATTTCAGGTAGTAATAAAAACGATTTTTACAAACGAATTGTTTGTTATACTTTTATCCATATGACTGTTGTTACGAATTCATTTTTCACCATAGCAAACAGGAAAAGTGGTGAAGTTATTAGAAATAATATACCGATTACTTTAATCAAAAAGAGTAGTTCGTGCCTGTTTGCAATGTTTACGACTGTTTTGGTATTCCAACAAAGTTTCGTCCATTACGGAGCCATATTACGAGCTCAATTTTTATCCATCTTTTACATATTTAAATTTTAATAAATTTTTAAATTGTGGTTACAAGCCTATTATTTATTCATTTTACGTAATAAGTTCAAATTACTTAAAATACTCTTGAACATTGGATTCTATTGAATTCGTGTGAATGATAAACGTTTCATTTGAACATTATATAAATATATAATGTAAACAAAGAAAAGGAGAGGCAATTTAAGATTTAAATATTAGGTAGGAAACAATGTATAAAGGATTTACATCAGAAACAAAGAAAAAAAAAGAAAGAGAAAACAGTTTACTGTAACGAATTATTGCAAACAATATATAAAGAATACACAGCAAAAACATGAGTGGAGACAAAGAGGTATAAACATTATTGGAAACAATGTGTAAAGGGTTTACAACCTACGCATGGTTAAAACAAAAAGTTTAGGGTTCATCGAACATATTTCCTACCCTACTAAAATTTTGCGACAAAATGTTCCATACCGGGAACATGGGGATTTGTTAGGGAAGCTTCCTGATTATAGTTTGGAGTTTGTAAAGACGATTCACCGTCTATTGTAACGAATTTTATTCGTCAACAACTCACAAAATATTAATGATAATATACTGGTAATTTCTAGAGGTGTTATTTATGAGAATGGATAAATGATTACTTACGTGAAATACAGTTTGGAACACTTTTTACATTTTTTTGAAGAATGTTCAGTTTAATCAATCTCCAGTCTCATGAATTAATAAAATTTTGTTCTGATATATTATTGCAATTTGGTTTTTTCCGACATGCGTAACTAGCAATTATTGATACTGTTGTAAATCTAAAGTAAAACAAATGAGTGAAAGGCTGCTAATACTGTCTAACGTCATTTTTTTACAGTGGGTTGGCAGATTCGGGCCATATATTTTGGCATACTCCATATTTGCTGAAAATCGTGCATGCAGCTGACAGATATCAGACTGAAACTAAAATATAACAAAATGTATAAAAATACAATAACTTACCCAGTGATGTAAAAGTAAAAGGTTTGGGTATAAGAAGAGGAATAGATCAAGCAATAGATCAATATCTTTTACAACGCACATAAAGCTTTTTTGGTGATTTAGCACTATTAGAAATTGTTTTGCTCCAAGTGTAACTTTGTTCCAGAAAATGATAGAACCCTTTTAACTGTTCCTGATTTGTTTCATCTGCGCAGCATATAAAGAAAGGAAAAATATGTGATGAATACATTTTGTAATTTTCGTAAACCATCTCAAAGGCTTTTATTTTAAGCCGTTTAAAGAATGATTTTGTGCTTATCCACATAGTTTAATTAGTTAATTGTTTCATAATTTTGAATATCATTCTACGAAGAGTAAGTTGCTTCTATGCCCACTTTATCTCTCTCTCTCTATATATATACATATATACATGATGTTTTGTAAATTCAGTTTACACCTTGTTTATTTTTAATTTATATATGCACTTTGTCAATTAATAAGTGATAATCAGCTGATAAGTTGTACGTGCTTTTGGTTTATTTTGGGTATAGAACTTTCTGGTATAAACCTATTTGTTAAGCTTTTTTTCGCCATTCCATTTATCGATAGTCGGAAGTCTTTGTATATTATAAAATGTTACTTCATTCACCCTTTGTTTACGGAGAGAAAAGAACAAATAATTGTGTAAAACACTACAAATTATGCGATCACTCAAATCGTTGACACTCATTGACTTTATCACGAAATTTGAAATAAGTCTTGCGAACCTCCAAATAACGTACAAATTATATCAAATAAAATTGTATTACCCCCATAAAACTAAAGATTGACTTATTTCTTACTTGGTTTCCTGGCATTTATCTTATATACTGACAGCTCTTTGTTAGATTGATCTCTTTTCTGTATGTGAACTGCTTATTGTGGATCATATCTTTGTGTCTGTATAGTACTGGCCATGTGGGGAGGTTACTTATATCGGAGCTATTGAGAAACAATTGATTTTGCAAGATTAGAAATTTTTTAATAAAGAAATTTTCTTTTAACTGAGTTTAAAAGCATTTACCACAAAGTCATTTCAGTCGCTTTTGCATTTATGAAATTTACTACTTATATTATTCTTGCTAAAACGAAAAAAAAGATATATATATAGTTTGTATGATGATAGTTTCTAGCAAAGTAAATCACTTATGCAATTTTTTTTTTTTCAAACATTTAGATGAAAGAGTTCAGGGGTTCGTTTAAAAGATACGGAGAATAGTTTAATCAGCTACAACCATCTTAAGTTCTAATTTTCGAAACTGTAGTTGTATTGTAATTATTGTTTAAATTAAATTTTTATCATCTTTTGTTCTGCCTTGTTTGAGACGTTGCAGTAGTAGCTCAGTGTCATTTATTTTTATCAGATTTAAAATACCTTTTTTGTCTTCGTCCATACTTTTACTATACTTTGTCTTTTCTTCTTCTGTTTTTAATAAGGTCAAAATATGCTGGATATATTCCACCCATTTTGCATTAGCGGTTTCGAGAGTGTGAATATGTAACCCGATACGCATTAATTTCTCCTCAGTAATTCCTTTTCTGAGGAGAAAATTTTTTGTAACTATGTAACTAATTAAACTCTTCTCCGTATCTTTTAAGCAGAAGGCAATGAATTCCTGAGTTCTTTTTAAAAATTAGAAAAAAGCATAAATAAAATGATTTACTTTGCACGAGCTCAGATTAAGATGGAAATTGTAGTTTGCATTTGTAATTATTGTATTTTAACGCGAATGATGACTGAAAGAAAGAAAATGAAATGTTGTTGTGAGAAATGTGTAAGCGTATTCAAATTTAACTAATTTACCAAAGTCTATAAACGATTGGTTTTTCTAATGGAAGTCGTAACATTGAAAATTATACAAAGAATCACTTGGCAAATTGGCCTGCAAACAGAATTGTGTTCAAGTTCTTAACAATTGCAAATAGGAATGGTTGGTCAGCAATGAATGGCCTAGGTACTGCAAATATGAGAGGTACTAAATCAAGCATCGTGGCAGCAGCTGACTCGGTTCCTTTTTCATTCACCTGTAAGTGAATAACCAAAATCTATGGTTTTTTTTTAGCAAGCGGTCATTAAAAAGATTACATTATATTCTTATTTAGCGAGAATTTTCACAAACCTCAATGAAGCCTCTATGCATGATGTTGCCTACAGAGATTGCATCATTAGTAAGCTCTCTGAAATTAGCTGTTTCACTGATAGCATCTTCAATACCAATTTTTTGTAGAGTTTCTTTCAAATCCATTTTCCCTTCCAAACGGAATTTCGGTAATTTTAGCTGAAAGCCGAAGAACATTAAATCGATAACAATAAAACTGTAAAATTACAAATCGATTAGCATATCGGAAAAAGCAAATGACAATGTTTTACCGATACATCGTTTGGTGTAGCTGAAGAAATATATGAAAGTAGATCTCGACCCGTTAAATTTCTCAGAACATTTTGCAAGCCAAAGCGTGTTTTTGGCAATATGAAGACCATTTCCACTTCTTCACCAATATAAGGCAATTTGATAACTTGCACAGAATGGTCCTCATAGTACGGGAATTCCGATTGTAATGTCATCATTGACACCTAGGAAGATAGAAATGATAGAGAGAAAGCACAGACAAATTCATTCAACATGAATGAGTTTTGAAAGAAACAGCTTGCCGCTTCAAATTTTGACATTCC